CGACAATGAAACGTACTACATTTAACTTAAATCTATCCCTTAATTACCGCTACCCCCCCACCCCTTAATGTTGACCTTGACCCCAACAACCAAATGTACATCCAACCCCCCCCCCCCCCCTCCCCCTCTAGTCGTCCACCTGCTGATGTTTTCCCGCGTCTTGTTCCCCCTGTTGTGTCAATCTGTCACTGGGTACAACAACAATGTTGGATAACAACCCCAACTTTGTTGCATCGTACACCAGTAGTTCACGACTGTACAGTGGTGGGGTGGGGGGGGGGGGGGAGTAAAGCAAAACCTCACCGTTGGTCTCACTACTGTAGACTAGCAGAGTAGAACAAATCGTCAACTCGACTCACAAAAATGTTTTCAAAACAATCTTCAAATGATTTTGTTGTTTTGTTTTCTATCTGCTCCTTGTTATGTGATGTGGAACATATTTTTTTTTTACATTTATCCGTCGTCCACTTTTGGAACATTTTTTTTCTGGGTCAATCTAGAACTTTCTTTTTAAAGTTATTTGAATTTCTGTGTTCAACAATCTAGATTTTTGTTCTCTTGTGTTCAACTATCTATCTTTGTGTTTAACGATCTAACCAGAGGCGTAGCGTCCCTTCCCGGCGCCCGGGGACAAACTTTCAATTTGGCGCCCCCCTCGAGAGCAAATTTTCAATTTGAACCCCCCCCCCCTCCTTCAAACTTTCGATTTGCACCCCTCCCCCCCTCAAACTTTCGATTTGTACCCCGCCCCAAACTGCAAAAATGCAGCTAAAATGACATTTTAATTTGTTTTTTCAACCCATTTTGGCGCCCCTAAGGTCGGCGCCCGGGGACATATGTACCCCCTGCCCCCCCCCCCCCCCCCCCATCGCTACGCCTCTGGATCTAACGCCCCCCCCCCATTAGCACTGCGCCACACACAGACGCAGAAATGTGATGTTTCAAACATTAGTTTTAGCGACGGTCACGTGATACCCGTGTTCATTAAAAGAAAATATAGAGGAGTGTGGGTCTTCGCCGTATCTCTGTCTCCCAGGGGCTCAGGTTTCGGTTTTGATTCGGGTGATGTTGTCCTAAATGTTGACTTTTTGTTATCCTAAATGTTAACTTTTTGTTGTCCTAAATGTTAACTTTTTGTTGTCCTAAATGTTAACTTTTTGTTGTCCTAAATGTTAACTTTTTGTTGTCCTCAATGTTAACTTTTTGTTGTCCTAAATGTTAACTTTTTGTTGTCTTAAATGTTAACTTTTTGTTGTCCTAAATGTTAACTTTTTGTTGTCCTAAATGTTAACTGTTTGTTGTCTTAAATGTTAACTTTTTGTTGTCCTAAATGTTAACTTTTTGTTGTCCTAAATGTTAACTGTTTGTTGTCTTAAATGTTAACTTTTTGTTGTCCTAAATGTTAACTTTTTGTTGTCTTAAATGTTAACTTTTTGTTGTCCTAAATGTTAACTTTTTGTTGTCCTAAATGTTAACTTTTTGTTGTCCTAAATGTTAACTTTTTAATTCATCATTATGTTGGACTCCGATGATGTTGTCCTAAATGTTAACTTTTGAATTCATCATTTTGTTACACTCCGATGATGTTGTCCTAGATGTTAACTTTTTGTTATCCTAAATGTCAACTTTTTGCTATCCCAAATGTTAACTTTTTATTTCATCATTTTGTTGGCCTCCAATGGTGTTGTCCTAAATGTTAACTTTTTTATTCATCATTTTGTTGTTTCATCATTTATTTTTTGTTAATTCCCGTATTATCAAAGATGAGTTGTTTCATTATATTTTTTTTTTCATCCGCATTCACCGGCTCTTTAGATGCATGTTTTAGACCACCGTTTAGTTAGTGGTAAGCAGAGTATCTTTCTGGCATCTCTTCTGGAGGAAACAGTGACCACCCGGAGCACATCTACCGCCCCCTTCACCCTCCCGGAAATATAAGTTCTATCCCACCCCGAAGAAAGTTTCAAGTGCCCTCCTTCCCCCCCCCCCCCCACCGGAGAAAAACGCCTAAAAAAACACTAATGGTACTGTGGGCACATAAAAGAGAGCTACCTTATATTCGAATACAGAAAACTCCAACATTTCTGAATACCAACATTTTCGAATATAACTGATTTAAAAATAAAAATAAAGAATCGAGTCTAATATATCAGTGGTTGAGAAGAACTCGTAACCACTGCTATTTTACTGTACCCTGTTACACTGAACCGCCACATTCCTACACGATTGAGAACCCCTCCCCCCACCCAAGCCCCCACCCCCACCTCCTGCACAGGTAGGAGGCACGCGTAGCCGTCCCACACCACGTCACGACGCCAGACTTCAAAGAGCAGGTGACGAGTGATTGACAGCCCCTCGTGACGTGGGGCTCCCCCCCCCCCTCCCACGGGCCAACACTGACGACCCCTGATGACAGGACTGACACGAACTGTCACCCTGTCGGGATCGACTAGCAGGCTGGGTCGGAGTTATCTCCCTTGCCTAACCCAGCCGTCGATGACTTTCTCCATTAGGGAAGCGCGTAATGAACACTAATTACCGCTTGGTGTTTTAATACTAGATGGTATAACGTAGCGCTCAAATAGTGTACAAACACCACCCCGCCAATTTCCCCCCAACCACAATCAGGCTACCATCAAAACTCAAAAGTTTAATATTGACTACCAGCAAACCTTAAAAGCTTGATATTGGCTACCATCAAAACTCAAAAGTTTGAGAACTGCAAAATGCTGTGTACTTTAAAACTCAAAGATGATATATCGAACCTCAAAAGTTTGATATTGGCTACCATCAAACCTCAAAAGCTTGATATTGGCTAAATCAAACCTCAAAAGTTTGCTTTGGCTACCATCAAACCCCAAAAGCTTGATATTGGCTACCATCAAACCTCAAAAATTTTAGATTGGCTAAGATCAAAACTCAAAAGTTTGATATTGACTACCATTAAACCTCAAAAGTTTGATATTGGCTACCATCAAACCTCAAAAGTTTGATATTGGCTACCATCAAACCTCAAAAGTTTGATATTGGCTACCATCAAACCTCAAAAGTTTGATATTGGCTACCATCAAACCTCAAAAGTTTGATATTGGCTACCATCAAACCTCAAAAGTTTGATATTGGCTACCATCAAACCTCAAAAATTTGATATTGGCTACCATCAAACCTCAAAAATTTGATATTGGCTACCATCAAACCTCAAAAATTTGATATTGGCTACCATCAAACCTCAAAAATTTGATATTGGCTACCATCAAACCTAAAAAAATTGATATTGGCTACCATCAAACCTCAAAAATTTGATATTGGCTACCATCAAAACTCAAAAGTTTGAGAACTCCTTCAAACGCTGGGCTACTTTAAAACTCAAAGATGATAACATCAATATTAAAAAAAATTGAGAACTGCAAAATATTGGCTATATCAAAACTCAAAAGTTTGATGTTTGCTACAATCAAAACTCAAACGTTTGAGAACATCATTGGCTACAATCAAACCTCAAAAGTTTGATATTGACTACCATCAACCTCAAAAGTTTGATATTGGCTACCATCAAAACTCAAAGTTTGAGAACTACTTTTAACACTGGGCTACTTTAAAACTTAAGATGATAGATTAAAACTCAAAAGTTTGAGAACTGCACCATGCTGTGTACTTTAAAACTCAAAGATGATATATCGAACCTCAAAAGTTTGAGAACTCCTTCAAACGCTGGGCTACTTTAAAACTCAAAGATGATAACATCAATATTCAAAAAATTGAGAACTGCAAAATATTGGCTAAATCAAAACTCAAAGTTTGATGTTTGCTACGATCAAAACTCAAACGTTTGAAAACATCATTGGCTACCATCAAACCTCAAAATGTTTGATATTGGCTACCATCAAACCTCAAAAGTTTGATATTGGCTACCATCAAACCTCAAAAGTTTGATATTGGCTACCATCAAACCTCAAAAGTTTGATATTGGCTACCATCAAACCTCAAAAGTTTGATATTGGCTACCATCAAACCTCAAAAGTTTGATATTGGCTACCATCAAACCTCAAAAGTTTGATATTGGCTACCATCAAACCTCAAAAGTTTGAGAACTGTTCCAAACGTTGAACTACATCAAAAGTGCGAGTACGCCATAGCTGATATCTGCCCTTAAACTCAAGTCTACGAATTGATTTTATCTGGCTCTAAAATTCTCTCCATCAATTTCATTTTTTCTACACAGGTAAGGAAAGGTAAACAGAAGGGGGGGGGGGGTGGGGGGATGTGTTTCAATTCTCTTTAGCACTTGATTGGGGGGGGGGGGAGATGTTTCAATTCTCTTTAGCACTTGATGGGGTAGGGGGTTCTGGATTGGGAAATGGGAGGGAGGGGAATTGGATGTGTTTCAATTCTCTTTAGCACTTGATTGGGGCGGGGGGGGGGGGGGGGTCTGGATTGTGAAGAGGGAGGGGGTGGATATGTTTCAATTCTCTTTAGCACTTGGTTGGGGGGGGGGGTGTGGAGAGTGTTTCAATTCTCTTTAGCACTTGATGGGGTGGGGTCTGGATTGGGAAGTGTGTGTGTGGGGGGGGGGGGGGGTGGGGTGGTGGATGTGTTTCAATTCTTTTTAGCACTTGACCAGGGGAAGGGGTTCTGGATTGGGAGGGGGAGGGAAACAATCAAGTTATATTACCTTCGTCTGTTTAGTATATTGGTTGCCCCAATTAAGTTTTGAAAGACTTCTATGAGAAGAAAAAAAAAACACAACCCCGAAACTTCAGATCTCACCCAATTTGCAATCACGCTGATTAATTTCGACAAAACCCGTGCTCGATTTTTCTTAATGTGTGTGTGAAATAAAGAGATATGATTTTAATGACAGCGAAAAAAAAAAAAAAATTCAACCTTCAAAGCGAAGTTTGCCGCGGTATCCTGCACGGCGCACGCAAGTAGACGGTTGGTTCTCCGCGCTACGCCGAGCCGCTCGCTCGTTCACTCGGCTCGCTTCGTGTCTGTCGAACTAACCCTACTGTTGACCATTCGGCTTGGATACGTTTATACAACTACCACTTGATTTCACGGGTCTAGTATTTCGTGAGGACTGCTGTTGTTAGGTTGTTGTTATTTTTTTAAAAGTTGTTGTTAGGAGTAGACTAGATTCATTCATCCGCATTACGGTTTATGTCTAGATCTAGATAGGTTTATAGTTGAAGGATTAAAAGATTCGATTGCGTGGAAAGGATTTATATTATATCTAAGAGACTGAAACTGGTTTCAAGTTGGAGAAGAAAAAAAACACCTAAGGAATTAGGATCTACGTTAAATAGAGCTAAGTACGAGATTAATATTCAAGGCTTACATTTGCAACCTGCCTGTTTTAATTATTGTTTTTTATTCAGAAGTGCGGTTAATTATTTTATAAGCAATTTGGATAATTAGAAAGCTGTTGTTGTATTTAAATTGTGTTCAGTGTGTAAGGATGTTGAGGGCCGAGCAACACGGTGGAGACTCACGCGAGTCCGTGTGTGTACTCACCGACAGGCTCTCGGGGCTCTAAGTGGACACCAGACGTCCCGTCGACGGACGGTTCTAGAATGTTCCTGCGGCACACTGGTCTGGTTTTATTCTCGGTGGTTTTCTTGGCCAACGTTAGGACAGAACCTACGACGTAGACACATTTCGGTGGTTTTTTTTTTTTTTGGCCGGCCTTGAACCTGCGAGTTGGTGGCCTTGACCCTAATAATTAGGTCTGTTGCAAGATTATTTTTTTTTAGGAAATTATCGGAGCTTAGCCAATTTAATAAGATCAAGTTGAGCCGTACTACACACGTCTAGACGGCGAGGTTGCGCCGGAGCTTAAACATATTTAGACGGCCAGACGGCTTATGGAATACACACACAGACGGCCTAGTTGAGCAGTATAATTTTATAAATAATTGAGCAGTTATATTCACATCTAGACGGCATTAGTGAACTTCACCACCACAATCTAGACGGCCAGACTGAACTTCAGCACCACAATCTAGACGGCCAGACCACACTGTGGCACCCTACTAGACGGCCAACACATCGCTGCCATGCTCTGGTACCGGATCCGTCTGGTTCTTCTTGGCCTCACGCTCAGCGTCGTCCATGTCGTCACCGGCTCCTGCGACCTTCAGTTCCAGGACGCCGCGTCTTTGGCCATCTCCAGTGACGTCGTCTTTAAAGGCCAGGTGCTCGGCACCGTCCCCTGGTTGGGCAGCGTCAATCACACAGTCCTTGTACTGAAAGTCTTAAAAGGGAGATCATCCTTACGGAAGAAAAACGTGACGATCGGAGTATTCGGCCATGATGAAGACAAGTCCCGTTGTATTCCTAAGAAGATTGCGGTTAGCAAAAAAAAAAAGCAGTGTCTTGTTTTATCTGAGGGAGGTGGGCTCGAAAACGGGATTATTGTTTGAGAACGTGGCCCCGCCGCACACGAAGTCGATCAAATCTCACGAGAACCTCGTCAACAGCGTTGTGTGCGATGGATGTGGTGAGTAGATTGTTTAGTATGTGGTCTTCGCCTGTCTCTTATGTGGTCCTTACCTGTCTACCCTGAGGTCCTTACCTGTCTATCCTGTGGACCTTGCCTGTCTATCCTGTGGTCCTTACCTGTGGTCCTTACCTGTGGTCCTTACCTGTGGTCCTTACCTTCCTATCCTGTGGCCCTGTCTTACCTGTGGTCCTTACCTGTTTATCCTGTGGTCCTTACCTGTCTATCCTGTGGACCTTGCCTGTCTATCCTGTGGTCCTTACCTGTGGTCCTTACCTGTGGTCCTTACCTGTGGTCCTTACCTGCCTATCCTGTGGCCCTGTCTTACCTGTGGTCCTTACCTGTTTATCCTGTGGTCCTTACCTGTCTATCCTGTGGTCCTTACCTGCGGTCCTTACCTGTTTATCATGTGGTCCTTACCTGCCTATCCTGTGGTTCTTACCTGCGGTCCTTACCTGTCTATCCTGTGGTCTTTATCTGTGGTCCTTACCTGTCTATCCTGTGGTCCTGTCTTACCTGTGGTCCTTACCTGTTTATCCTGTGGTCCTTACCTGTCTATCCTGTGGCCTCAGCATCCACCTGTTCTCCCTGTAAAAAACATTGGCGCCATAAAAACATTTTTTCACCTGTAATTTCTCACCGGCATCGAGAAAGCATGTGTTCGCCTGTAACCAACCACAAGCTAAACCTTTTTATACTGACCAATCGCAAACACTCGATCCCAATTATACGGGGAAGGCACGAACGTAGCGATAGAGCGCACGACTACCCTAATGTTTCGAGTTCGGATCCCGGATTTGAACCAAAAGGATATTTCTAAGTCAACCCAGCTCTTACAAGTACCTGACTAACTTTAGGGAAAGTAAAGACGGCTGGACAAAGTGCTCAACAAACTACCCGTTCACCAAGGACACAGAAACAGGTGAACTTCACTTCATCTGAATCGTGGACAGCCGTATTCTAAAGAGTAACATAACGGTGTATGATCTAAATCGCAGGGTATACGGTTAACTCGTCGACCTTCAGTAGCTTTAAAAATATTGAAAAACTATTTGACATAGTTGTATCTAGCATCGATGCGCTTCACCCGAGGTCCCTATAATACCTGGGGTGTAATGCTACACGGGGCAGTACGCTCTACTTCTCATACAACCCCCCCCCCCCCCACACCACCCCCAGGTCGAATTAACACTAATGGTTGCCTACAAACGGCATCGTTGGTAACTCTATTAACTCTACCACAAGCACACTCCTATCCTTTATAGGCCTTGATGTAACGGGATATATATATATATATATATATATATATATATATATATATATATATATATATATATATATATATATATATATATATATATATGAATAATTTACGTGTATGTTGCTGTACATGCCACCAAAGTAGTTTCTTGGTGTGTAAACCCTTACCCTAACCTTTAACCCCCTCCTAAAGCAGCAGCTAGTGTACACAGCCCGCCCCTCGCTTGTTTACAAGTGCCGGATGTCACGTGACTGACTGTGACCCGTGTCGTTGTGCTACTACAGGTGTGTAGCTTACCTGGGGTTGACAACATACCTGTCGTGTGTGTGTGTGTGTGTCCCCTTCCCCTCCCCCCCGCGCCCCCTTTTTACCTGGATCTTGTAACGGTATATGGGTGGTTTGGAGAGGCTTAAAGGCACAGACAGCGATCTGTTCCCACGGTTGGCCTCATTTTAATGCCCCTCCCCCCACCCCACCCCACCCCATTTTTTTAAAACAAGCGGGACATTTAGGGGAGTCCTAGAGCAGTGAAGCGTGTTGTTATCTAACTGGTCTAACACCCACACATACCTCACACACCCACACATACCTCATACACCCACACATACCTCATACACCCACACATACCTCACACACCCACACATACCTCATACACCCACACATACCTCAGACACCCACAAATACCGCACACACCCACACATATCTCATACACCCACAAATACCACACACACCCACACATACCTCAGACACCCACACATACCTCATACACACCCACACATACCTCAGACACCCACACATACCTCAGACACCCACACATACCTCAGACACCCACACATACCTCACACACCCACACATACCTCATACACACCCGCACATACCTCATACACCCACTCATACTTCATACACCCGCACATACCACACACACCCACACATACCTCATACACACCCACACATACCTCACACACCCACACATACCTCATACACCCACACATACCTCATACACACCCACACATACCTCACACACCCACACATACCTCATACACCCACACATACCTCATACACTCACACATATCACAGACTCCACACATACCTCACACACCCACACATACCTCATACACCCACACATACCTTAGGCACCACACATACCTCATACACCCACAAATACCTCACACACCCACACATACCTTAGGCACCACACATACCTCAGACACCCACACATACCACACACACCCACACATACCTCATACACCCACACATACCTCACACACCCACACATACCTCATACACCCACAAATACCTCACACACCCACACATACATCACACACCTACACATACCTTCCACACTGACCACCGAATTTTCTCCTCTTAGCATTAGCACATGCACACTAGCAGTCGCATATACATGCACACATACCTTGTGCATACACACACAATTACACACACACACACGCGCACACTTTACTATGATCTGCTACAACCGACAAATCCCACAAAACTGTAGACATAACTATATCTCGTTTGTATCTAAAAAACGATATTGCCCGTATACCTAGAGACACCTTTACGAAAACACATCAACGTAGGCAACACCTTTATCTTGGCCCACCATTACAAAACACATGTTTATACTTAGGCATATCTTTACCTAGATACACCTTTACAAAAACACCGCAATATAGACACACCTTACCTTATAATTACTTAGATGTAAATACAACCTATCACACCTTTAAGCAGACATACCTTTAACAGACACACCTTTACTTCTGCATACCTCTACACTAACACACCTTTAAATAGACACACCTTGATAAATCTACACGAAATCACCTTACACAAATAAACCGCAGACAATTTTATGTATTTAAATTTACCTAGAAGGATGACCTTTTGTAAGGTTGACCTGAGGTTAAGATGACCTTAGCATTGTACAGTAAAATAAATATTGTAGTGGGGTGTTTTGGGTGGATGATAGTAGTGGAGTTTGGTGGATTGCGCTGGTGGAGTGTGCTGATGTAATGTCTAGGTAGAGGGGTAGGTAATTTTGGTGGATTGTCTTAGTGGAATTTTTTTTTCTGGTGGAATGTTCCGGTGGAACGTATTGATTGTTGTTGTTGTGGAGTATCCTGGTGGTGACGAAGTGTCCTTTTGATGACTGCCCTTGTGGAGTGAATGGCGATATGACACCAGGTCGGAGTGTACTGGAGTGTCGCCGGGTGTAGCGGCGTGCACTTTTCACCCATCTTGACACTAGTGACGCACGTCCATACTTGTAGGGAGGACGAGGAAATGACACTTAGCTGCCGGCTTATGCCCCCCTCAGCTTGCCGGCGCAATCAACGCTGCCGGCGCACACTTCCGGCAGGGACACGGAACACTCGAGAACCGGTCTGCCGGCGTCAGTGACCGTAGAGATGGTGAGTGCGTCCATCTTAACCGGTGGTATGGATGCCACGTTGTACTGATAGGGATTATCTAACCCCATCCCAAACTTTATCCCTTATTTCAATCATTATCCTCATCCTTACCCTAACCACAACCCCAACCCTAGTCCTGATCATAATCCTGATCCTTATCCCAATTCCAATTTTAATCCTAATCCTAACTCTAACCAGTGTTTCTTTCAGGCACTTCTCCGGAACACATGACCACTGCCCCCCCCCCCCCCCTCCCTCCCCCTCAACTAGGATAAATGGAAAAATATATAATTTATAAAGAGAATATACACATTAACCAATGACCGCTCCTTCCCCCACTTGGATATATCAAGTACCCCTACCCAGAAGAAAAATGTCTGAAAGAAACACATTTTTTTGACCAAAAACGTAACCACTCACTAATAAACCAAACCACTCGATATCGCCCTGAATTGTATTGCCAGCCATCACAAGTAAACCAAAGCCAGCAATAGCAATAGTGAGAGAAAAGTCTAGAAGAACGAAATGACAATGATTCCAGCTGTCCCAACTCTTAACAGATTAGGTATTAAGTAGGTACGGCATTTCGACTACACTTAACAACCCAACTCTTCATCCTATACCTGTTTGTGTTATGCCTAATTTAAAACCTAATCGTCATTAACGCAAATATTGTCTTTTTATTACTTGTATATTCTTTAAAAAAAAAAAAACCTTATTAATGCTATATTCTGATGGCTTTACTCCACTAAAGCTCTAACCCTAGTCTTGACCCTAACCCTAGCCTTTACCCTAACCCTAGCCTTGACCCTAACCCTAGCCTTGACTCTAACCCTAGCCTTCATCCTAACCCTAGCCTTGACCCTAACCCTAGCCTTGACCCTAACCCTAGCCTTGACTCTAACCCTAGCCTTCATCCTAACCCTAGCCTTGACCCTAACCCTAGCCTTGACCCTAACCCTAGCCTTGACCCTAACCCTAGCCTTGACCCTTACTTATTCCAAAGGATCTGCAGCCACCCCTCTCCACAAGTCTCGGTGTTGGGCAGCTCTCTTTATTAGTGCCCGGCAGCTCTTACTTTACCGTCTACTGCCCTTCATGATTTCCTTGCCCTGCCTACTTTCCTTTTTCCTTTGGGAATTCCAGACAGATTCTTTCTTAGCGATGCCTTGAACCTAACCCTACCTTTAAACCCTAACCCTACCCTTGACTCTAACCCTAGCCTTGACTCTAACCCTAGCCTTGACCCTAACCCTAGCCTTGACCCTAACCCTTAGCATTAAAAACCACTGAAGACACAAAACCTTAAACGTTAACTTTTT